ATATATATATATATAATTATTTACTTAAAATTCTAACAAAATTTACTTCTCAAATTGCAAAGTGTTTAGAACATTATATCAAACTTGAAATTTAAAAAAATATTTCATGCTTTTATTCTATTTTTCTTAATCTTCCATTAACAATAAGTTAAAATTTCAGGAAACACAAAAAGTTTCCCTCTATTGTATATAGCAACAATACTCGACAAAGCGTGATTTCGGACGCATCGTCTGTCGCCAATTCGAATTTTTGTGATGCTATTTTTATAAGAATATGTGATATTTTGGCATGTCTCCTCCCACTGCTACGTCAATTCACTGACAAAGAAAATAAAATCCCATAAATATTGCAACTTTTTTTTTTAAATGGAGACACACACATATGGCGAATTTTGAAACGGAAAATCTCGCGCGCGTGCAATATTTAGAGATTACAAGAGAGAAAATCCTTTATATTGCAAAAATATAATAAATTTATAATTATAAAACATTACAAATTTTAATATATAAAAAATACAAGAATAATATATTATTAATTGACTTCAAGAAGACATGAGGAAGTGGAGACACTATTTTCAAACTGAAAACTAAATATTTTGTTATATTTATTCACCAATACTCTATTCGTTAAGCGACTCGGTTCTCTGTAAATATACGTAAAGTAAATGAAATAAATCTTCAACGCAAATACACACACAGACAAAGTAATCCAACGAGTGTTACATCGTGCGTGAGGTTAATTACGCTACGGGGCGAGCACTCTCGTCGAAGAAATCGCCGAGCGGCAGGCTACCGCGGTAAAAAAACTGACGCACCGGAAGCACGCACGCACGCACACATACATACACACACACACACACACAGATTACACTCCGTCTGCGAATCGGTATGCGAAAGTACCGCGCGAGCGATACGCGCTTTCGTTCGGGATATTCGTTCACTTACGCGCTGCTCCTTGGCGATTTGGCATTGTTTTTACCACGATCTCCCACTCCCGCTGCCTCTCTATCGCCCTCGACGCCACGCTCTCGCCATTACGATCTCTCGCCCAGCGCAAAAAGCGCCCGTGGGGTTATCGATTGCGCTGTTCGACTACTGGGCGGCGCGGGGTGCCCAATGGCAATTCCGCGAAAATGAGATGACGATAATATCGCTCGCGAATCAATTTCGCACGGTGAGTGGTCTGTACTCAGGATTCCTCGTGTCTCTCAATTGTTCCGCTGCCATTCTCTCTCGCGTTCGAATGCTCTAACCGACGACGATCACCCAACCGACGATGAGAGAAATGCAAACGGGTCGCCTCTAATTCCCCGTAACTTCGAGGGTACACTTCGTTTACACGTAACGTACTAAACGGTTAACGTTCCCCTTCGTTTCCGCGAATGCGCGATCGACTCGTCATCTACGCGAACGCTGATACTCAGCGCGTAAACATCCTCTCTGTGCGACGACACTACGGCGAATGTTTACTCGGCGGATTACGGATTACGTTGTGAGCGATGCCGTTTATAACGGATTTGCAACAACGATGTTTCATTCGTTGAAACGGCGAGTCATCGGACGTCCCGATTGGCTATCGAATAGAGAATTTCTAATTTCGATAGTTTCTTGCAATATCAGCCAATCAGTATATCGGACGAAGCTTGTCATATGAAATTTAATAGCGCCCTGAGAAGTTAGAAGTCACTAGAAATTTCACGCTCCGGTCGCCATGTCTACTCCACTGCGGAATAAATTGCGTTGATAACGCGCGCGATTCGGAGAATGTAAGAAAATATATTTGTCTGTTAGATTTTGTGGCTAAAAAAGAAGCTTCGTTGCTTTTATCAGTTTGAAGAACCAAGAATTGATTGTATCGTAGCAAAGAATGATCGATGTAGATTTGTACACCAAGTTAAAATCACCGCGCATGAATTTAATAAATGTAAGTCTTTTATCAATCTAACGTTCAATATAGAATCTTTTGAACAATGCGAATCTTATGCCCAATCTTTCATTAATTTTTCTGAGAATAGTGTACATAAAAGTTATAAAAACTCGGATTATAAATATTTACACAATTTAATTTTAATTTAAAGAAGTATACTTTGTATTATTTCGTTGCATAATTAATGTGCAGAACACATATTAATTCGTTTTTGCTTCAAATTGATATTATAAAAGGATTGACGTACACAATATGTACAAAAAAGAAAAAAATTTGTACTTTCTCTATTACATCTATTATATACACACTTTAAATATTATAAATATTATAAATTAATTCATGTTTTGTACAGTACAATGGAAGATTCATATTTACATGGACATGCAGTAAAATAAATTGGCAGCTTTTAAATAGAATTACCACATTTTCATAAATCACTTATTAAGAGCGATATGTTTTAGCTCTGTAATAATCTTGTTCGTGAATAGACTTCATTTTCTAACGATTTTATTTGATATCTCGATCTTTAAATAGTTAAGTAAATTATTTAACCTTTTAGTTACTCGAGTTTAAAAATTGAAGTTATTAATAAATAATGATATCAAATATATAAATAACATTAATATTCTTTGGTCTCAAAAATATTTCAAATTTTGACTTAACAGATCTTACTTTTTAATAATTTTCCAATATTTTTCTGCTCTCGTCATCCAAAATTATCGTATTATGATCTTCCGTAAATAAAGTTTCTTGGCTCAGAGCAGGGGTCTCTTGTCGAGAAAATTCGCTAGTTGCCCATAAGAACAAATCCAATGTCTGCTCTGTGCATTCTGCTATAAATCTTACAAATGGTCTCACATCTCCGGTATTTGCCAATTGCAAATTTTCATAATATTTATGACGGTGTTGTTTATGGATGATAACAGGCGGATATCCGGCCCGCATAAGAATCATATTCATGAGCAAGCGGGATGTTCTACCGTTTCCATCGGCAAACGGATGTATATGTACCAATTTATAATGTGCGAGAGCAGCATATCTATGAAACAAATTTTTTGGATTAAAATTCTGAACAAAGTTTTGGATAAAACTAAATGCAAAAGAAGAGATAGTAAATATTAATATAGTAATATCAATTTAGTAAATGTAAAATGAAAAATTTGTTTACCTTACTGGATGCATTCTGATGGCTTGTTCACTATTTAACCATAATACAAATTCCTCCATCAAATAATGTATATCATCTGGACCTGGAGGTATATGGCCACCAACGTACACTTGAGTTCTTCGAAATTCACCACCTTCGACAGGATTCACATGTCCTAGCACACGTCTATGTATTTCTAATATATTTTTTATAGAAATGGACCATACCCTGAATAATGAATAATAAATATTAGAATAGTAACAAGCCTTTGGATTTTCTCATAAAATTAGAAACTTACTTATTGCCCATGGTCGCAATGATATATTTCATGGCAGCATCTAATCCAATGATTTCATTGTGTTCATCAATACTCTTTCCATCAACTGCAAGGCGTGTCTCGACTATAGCTCTTGTCTGTGCCAGATTCATAGTATTTCCTTCAATTCCAACTGTGTGATAAATATGCTGGAAATAAGCCTCTGTTTTAGCACGTATTAATGCGACATTGTCATCAGGTATATTTGACAGTGTATTTCTTTTCTCGTCAATGCGTTTGAGCATTAGTCTGTCGAGTTCCTCGACTACTCGAGCTGTTCTTTGACTGTTTACCAAAGCACCTTCATGATTCGGTTTGTAAGTTAAAGCACGTACGTAAAACTCATTAGCTTTGATTATATTGTTCTGAGTATGCTCTAAAAACTCTCCATAATGATTCAAAACATCTGGATGACAAGGTGCTAATGCCACAGCATGTTGGAACAATTTTATAGCTTTCTTTTGCTTTCCAGATACTTTCATCTCCATTGCTAACTGCAAAGACGTCAGGGCTTCTGCTGTCGATGCCATAGTGTTCTGAACTTGCACTTTATCGAGTTCGGTGTTATCTGATGGAAAGGTGAGTCTGCTGTCGTAGTAAACATTCAAAAAACTTTCCAAGGGAAGCGATGCAAACTTGTTACGGAATTCATTCTCTGAAAAAAAAGGATCAAAACAAACTGTCAGCTCTCATATTCTTATCGTAATTCGCAAATATCGCAATAAATGATATTTTTATCTCACATGTCATGGCAAACGTAATTATATACGTTTATCAACTTTTGCTCACCCTCGTAATCGGTGGGCACGCCGCGTAAATATTGTGCCAGTAATGTGACGACGAAAGCAGCGGCGAGTCCGGATACAAAGACGAACGTGAAGATGAAACGATTCGGTATCATACCGTCCGTGGCGACATTCTTACGTTTGGAGTTCACGTTAACGGCCTTTGTATAGTGCATATGTATGCACTCGTAAATGTACGTAAATGCCAGTAGCATCTTTCCTCGCGGTGATTCTCGACGGACTTGTACCTGATAACAAACCGTGACATGCTTGACGAATATATCGCTCTATGCTCTCATATGACGCAATGCGTTGCCTTCATATCTTGTCAACGAGCGGCAGCTCGAATGCATCCATGTGGTACATTCTGATTGGTTGGGGCTTGCGCACTCCGCGAATCGACAATATCGCCGTTTGAATCGCGCGCGCTCGACTCGTTTCTCCGTTCAGCCATTCCCCTGTTCCATCATTCTCGTCCTTTCCCGTGTTTCGTCTCCTGGCGTTCTCGCATCTCTTCACGTTTCTTCGCGTTTCTTCTCGCTGTTATATTATTATAACAACTTTCGACGCTTTAATATATACAACATATGCGACTCGCAAATGAAGAATCTATGGTATAACATTGTTCAATTAATATTTAATGATAATTTTTTCATTCTTCTGCAAATTCGATTAATTACTTAATCTTATTTCAGCTCTTACAGTCGTTTCTCCTCCCCTCCTGCTATTCCAGTTTGAAAATCTATCAGTTTGGTTCTCGATCGCGTATGTTCAACGTCTTTCTCCACGTTCGAAGAGTAAGTATATACTTGTTGAATCCAAAATACATTAATTGTACGACTGTATAATCTAATGCATTGAAATTTGTATCCGTTTTCTTGTAGTTTGAATGGAAAGCGATATATGAGCGCGTTTTATATTATATTTGTGAACGAATATCAGACGGGGTAGAGAAATCGGCATAGGCAGCCATATTAGATGTAGCCGACTTTACATCGGAAGATGCAACGGTCGGCCTTGGAACATTTTCAATTAATCGCAGGTATTTATATTGATTATTATAAAAATACTAGTCACATATTGTGAATGCATTTGGGATTCTATATGTCAATGGTATTTATTGGAGTTTATTCGTCGTACGTACAGATTATTCTATATGTTATACATGAAAAATAATACAGAATAGCTTTTCGATGAAAATAATTTTCCTCTAATTTGAATGATCGAGATTTCTTAAGTAGTGGATGCATCCGAGCAATTTAATGAAATTAATCGTCGGTTTCAATAGACGCGCGTATATTTATACAATAGTAATATTCGTTAAAGAAAATAAAAACGTATTCAATCATTTCAAAAGTATTTCCACTTTCATATATTCCTTCTAGTTCTCGCACTTGCAACTCGATATCGCCATGGTGGAGAAAGTATTTTTTTATGAAAGCTCTCCTGAAAAATATTGCATAAATTACAAATTGAATATTGATTGAATTAAATATAATTGTTTCATCAGTAAATTATTACTTTGTTTCGCGAAGTAGGCATGCTTTCGCTGCTAACACGCGAATAGGTTTGCAAAATCGAACGACTAGGGGTTATTTCATAGTCCATTTTATAATTTCTAGAGAAACCTTCGCTCTTTCCTGTCCTTTTAGGATTAGTATAGGATGCAGAATTTCTCGATTGATACGTTTCGTTTCTATTTATAATCGGTATAACAATTAATTGTCGCTATTGCATATATATAAATATAATTGTACTTTTAGCATTCTTTCATAAAATACCTATATAATCGTCGATCTGAAATTCTATCGTCCTGACTTTTTAGAATTTGCGATACATGATATTGTTGGGGCGATGAAGACGGGTTCATGGTAGATGTTTCGTAGCGAATTCTCTAAACGAAAAATTAATAATTAACTAGGGGATATACTTCGTGCTTATTATAATCCTAATAATTGGAATAAGAAAAGTAAGATAAAGGCAAGTTGAATTTTACGGAATTTCTCCGTTCCTCGGAAGAACGATTTCCGTTTCCGGAGCGGCATCGCCAGTTCCATGTCGTGGAACCGTGTAATGAGGATTGTTTGGCCGACTGTTCTTGCATCTGGCCGCGTCGCATAACGATTATGCGATCAGTATTGTCAGAATTTTTGGGTGTACTATTTTGATAATTGTCCTTCGTCGTTCTATATAAATGTAGTAAAAAAAAATCTAGAGAAATAATTATATGTGTATATAATTCGTAATATATATTATTTTTAATAAATATATATTATTTTTAATATACGGAAAACAATTGTTTCTTTATAAAAGGAATTTATACGAAATATAATATTTTTTCTCTATAGGAAGAATTGTTTTTACATTTTGCAAGTAATATATGCAGGGTGTTTCAATTTTTTCATTACTTTATACATTATAATGAAATAAATATAATTATTATGAATAATGAAATAAATAAGTCTATTTGTTATAAAAAACTCATAAATAAGACAAATCTTATTTTTATTATGAAAAATACTCTGGTTATATTATTATGGAATATTTTTAAAAAATATTTTTTTTCAAGGATTGCAGTTTAAAAAATTTATTTAAATTATTCTGTATGTAATTATATCACCTGATAGTCATGGTCGACGACGATACATTTTCAATTCGACATGTGGAATTTCGAAGGAGTCGTGGTGTTAATTGATAAGCAGCAACGGTTGTTTGGTGTAATTTGTGTGCTCTATTAAAATTAAAAGATATACGTCCGGATATGAATAATTATAACATTACAGTACTTTCTTGTAAAATAAAGTTCACGTTGGTATTCCTCTTACTTGATATTATATATGCCGCCGATTTCCCCATACTTTCGTCTCATTAATTCAGCCTCGACAGCGACTACGTTTGTTCGCATTGCCGTCGCAATCTCGTTTATTATCTACAATAATCAGCAATGCAATCATCTTGCACAGGCATTTTGTATAGCGTCATTAATTGGTGCATATTTTAAGGCCAATCAAAAAAATTGCAAAGTAGACGGTGGTAAAATGGAAAATTCAGTGCATAATATTGCTATAATAATGCACAAGAGAGGCAAAAATATCTAAATCTACCGTATTATGGATAATATAAGTATTTTAAGAAAATTGGATTAAAAGATCTAGAAATTTGCGGTTTCTAAAAAAGACATTATGAAATATATATTAAAGTATAATATGTATAATGGAAGGAAATAATTATAAAAATAGACATATTAAAAGTAAAATTATATCTATAAAGAGATAATGTATCACATATTTTCTATATATTGTCTTCTTCAAATTTTTTCCACGATTGTCAAGGATTATAAAGAATTTTGTATATATTACCGCGAGATGATCGGAAACCTTCAAGTCGTTTTCAAAACATAGATTGTTCTTCGACGACGCGAGGATCCACGGATGATCAAGGATCTCTCGAATAGTGATTCTCTCACGAGCTAATGGGACGAGCAAACGGTTTATCAAGTTCCTACACTCAATCGATGTTTGGCACATGGCTTTTTCTTGGATCGACGTCAAGCCCCTGTTGATCTGGATCATCAATCTCCGTCGACGTTCCTCCGACGATGTCCATTCGTCGCGGGGACACAGAAACGGAAGTCGACCAATTGTCATTCCGTACAAAACGACTCCTCTGCGTATCATATTGTTGCACAATATTTAAACGTTGCGACACAATTTAGTATGCTGTATTATAATTAAAATGTAAAACGGTCCAAGTGCACTTTTTGACACTACATACACGTTAAAGAAAAATATTTTTAAAAAACTCTTTTATATAATAAAACTTGCAAATATTTATATCTTGCATATACAATATCTATTTACAGGCTCCATAAATCTACTTCCGGCCCATATCGTTTACCCACGACGAAGAGTTCGGGAGCAGCATACTCCGGAGATCCACAGTGCGTTCGCAGAGGATCGTCGCTGGCATAAATGTTGCTGAGACCGAAATCTACGATTGCAAAAGACATCGACTGGTGAGTGCTTTTTACGAAAAATTTTTTATAATCTTCGATTGCGTTATTAAAATTAGATTGTGAAATTATAATACTATATATCAAGCCAAATGCGTGTATAAATCACATTAATATATAATAAATAGATAGTAATAAATTGAAAAGTAAAAAAACGCGCTATTTTATATTCTTTTTGTAAGTAGAAAAAACATCTACAAAATTACGAAGCATTTCACAATCTATTCGATTCTTTTGTGAAATATCTGTGTAGGGATCTGATTCGCCATAGCAGTCGAAGATCGTTAAAAATAACGGGCATCGTGTTTCTGCGTAATTATATAAATTGCGGCCAATTTTATCGCAAGTGCAATTTTTTATGCGGATTTTTGCCAGGCACAAGCAGATCTGATTTCACGCTCGAAAATCAAGGGTCACGCGAGCGGAAACATTATAGTCGCGATTTTCGCGGTGCACGCTAATCTACGCGATTCGATCGATGGCGATTGCTACAATCGCCGCGACCATAACGTTCTTTCGTCCCGCGCGATACGTCGACGTTCAGATATACAACACACACATTTGCCTCTCACCCACTATCTTGATATGTTCCTTGCGTTCGTCCTGCAGCACGATATTCTCCATTTTGAGATCCCTGCAACAGAATCACAAACGTCTTTTGACAGGCTGCAGAAATTAAAAAAAGTTGCTTAATATTCCTTATAAAAATAAAATGTTATTATCAAGCAACTTTATAAAAAATAATATTTATAATTGATAGCGACAAATTATTTCTTAATTTTAATGATAAATATTTTAATGAAGATGATATTGATAGTTTCTTAAAGAAAAATGTAAGTGAGCTTTCTTATCGTATTATTCTTTATTGTAACTTTTTAAAGCTCAATATTTTAAATATCTCAATGGCTAGATCTCATTATCTTATATGATATTTTAATTCAAAAAGACTTTAGTTTGGTTAAAGAAAGTATCAATTAATATTAAAATTGACTGTTTTGGAACACTTAGAATTTTTTCTCACGATATTATCTCGTTTTCCTAGGATTACATTTTTTAGATCTAACGTATCTCCAATAAGATAACGATTACGCAGACTCTGCGATAATTGCGCGGGTGTATGCGGGAAAAAACCTACGCTGTATGCATATTCGAGCGTACATAGGCACATATGCGTGTGCAGTTTGCGCGATCACGTAGCGCGTTCGCGAGATTAACGCTCTCGGCGCAAGAACCCCGTGGCCCTGACCATCGCGCGAAGGTCTCTTTGCTCGTATCGCCGTCTACGAGCGCAACTCGCGGACCTTGCAAATTGTCGTTTCATCGGCATGACGACGTCTTGACCTCTCGATGGTGTCGGGTTCTCTCATTTCTCGATCTCGTATATCCTTGATGAGATGTCAGCGTGGCAGAGTCAGAGTCGTCGAAATTTCACGATGTATCTTGGATTCATTTCTCATACAAATTTGACTTTTCGCGCGAGTATTGCAAAATTTGTATCACACTTCTTCAAAAATAAATCACAGAGATGATTCTTTGTATCAATATAAATCTCATAAAATGAAGTAATACATCTTCTTCGTGTGTGACAGGTATCCTTTTTTAAGACTTACGATTCTTTTTAAGACTTAAGATTCTCTAGTAAGATCGTTAAGAAAATATATTTCTAAATTAGTAAAGGAATTCACAGATGAACAGAGAATAGCGCTGTGAAAGATTTAGTATAGTTGGAAAAATGAGAACATTTGGATGGAGAATCTTCGGTATCGATACGAGAAACGCGATATCGAGACTTCTAGCTAAGACCTAAGCTGTCACCGGGATCAGACGGCAACGACCCTGTAGCTTATCCGTGGCAGAGACCTTGGGACCTTGAAACGCATCATTAAAATCGCATCGCCGCGATGCGAGAGAGGAGCCAGCGTGCGCTTTGGGTGTCGCTAATAAGTAATAAAAGAGGACTCGCTCCTCGGAACACGTGCCCGCGGCGAGGTTAATACCGTCATGGGATGCGAGGCGCGCTCGTAGGGATCGTTACTCGTTGGCGAGATCTAGAACACGTCCACAGTATTTTTCTTCATTCTCGGCTGCTGGCCACCTCCCATTCGAATTTCGAATCGTTCGAATACCGTGAATGAACTCTCGCTCCAGGATATTCGCCCAAAAAAAAGCGAGCGAACGAAGTGATGAACGGTTTCTTCGAGTTGTCTTTCGATATTAATTTATCGGTCGATTTATCTGCTTTTTCATTATACGCAGCGATTATGTTCGGTATTAATAAAGGGGAAGACAAGAATTTAAAAAGTAAGGTAGAAATTTGAGAGAAAAAACTATATATAATTTTTATCTTTTCTTAAATGTATAACGCGCGCGTGGTAAATATTTTGTGTTTATATTACTGGGGACGCACGCACATAAAATTCCAAATATAAATATGATAAACGTAATCCATAAAATTAAATATCTCATTTTACAGAGATACTTCTTTCTATTCCATATTCTCTAATTAATTACGCAAAATCAACTAATACATAACTAATCGGTTAATTAATATCCATGCATGTAAAATCATACGGGATATTACATAATTATCAGTTAATCTTGTAATCAGATTTCATGGTATTGAGTAACGTCGAATATAAAACAAAGTACGTATCAATATTCCGATGATCAGAGCGTGTTACTCGGATATATCGAGGTATCGTGAGTATCGTCAGGTTCGAAACATCGAGCGCGGCCTCCGAGCGATGCGTTTCTACTGCATCCTCAACTGCTGCGGGATAATAGTCGAAACGACCCTGAAGCCGAGGCCACGGTTGTTCGTTGGCCTGGGCGATTACGTTTCTTTTATATCGTCGTAGAAGTGCCGCGGCGGCGCTGCCTGGGAACACGCGTTCGCGACAAACTTTCGCGACAAATCGCGCGAGATCCGATTAAAGCTCCGCCGCTCGTCTCGCGCTCGCGCTCTCGTAATCGCGAGAACATAATTGCCGGCGTAAAGCGACAGGTGGTCCCGCGGACTTGATAAGAAAAAAAAGGGGAAAAAAGGAGAAATAAATAAGAGGCAGAACAAAAAAGAGCGAGAGATGTATATGCCCCGCACCTCTAGCGTTAACGATCGTCCCTCTTCTCCCATCTCTCCTCTCTCTCTCTGAAAATAAACTCGCGCGGCCCGTGACAAAAGTGATCGATGGCCGCGACGATCCAGATATTCCCGCTGATCCACGAACGGACGAGATCCACTCACGCATTATGAGATGGAGCCACGCGTTGCATTGGAGGGAAATTGCATCCTACGTAGGGAATACATATAAGAGAATTATAAATAGGTGAAAATTTGGAGTTTCTCTCTGATATCAATGTGATTTGCTCATTAATTATTATATATTAAAATGTACGATCGCATTCGCGTTAAGCTTTAAGAATGTTAAATGTAACTCTATTTCAAGAGAAAAACTATTCCTGTAAATCTATTTATTCTACGACAGATGCTGCTTTTACAAATTTACTGCTAATTGACAGTTATCTTTTATGTATCACCGGACAAGACGATAGCATCACCTACTGTGCACGCTTCGGCGCGGTCGCGTTTACCTCCACACGCTCGTAAACGCTCGCGACGTAAGAGCGATGCACTCGCTCGCCTCGGTTGCAAGCGTGTGCGCATCCGTAAGTACTTAAAATTTAATTGCTGGCCGTGACCGTTACATCGTGGCAGTTTATTTCGGTCTTAATAAACCGGGTCCACACATCGAGCTTTCGCGCGGTTGAGCGGGGTCATGTCTGTGTTACGAGTCGCCAAGTCGAGACGAAAATCGAGAAAAACACGCGGAATCGAGAGTGCACGTGGAACGTAGCGCGAGCGATTTATCGTTTCCACCCGCGCATAAATATTCGATGCGCGGCGCCGGTATCATTGATACCGGCGTGAGCGCCGCGGAATAATAGATAACGAGATATTTGGGATGCGACGCTCGAGGCGAGGTTTTAATAAACCGACCGGATCCGCGCGATAAACCGGTCCCGCATCCGCGGTTGATGCGTGCGGAAAATAATTCGAAGAGTTCGGCGGAAAAAAACGTGTAAACGCCTTCTTTTCCATCGGGCAAAGTCGCAGAATGGAATCGTTACAGAGGAATATATTTTATTTCAACGCTCTAAATATTCTTTAGAGAATCTTAGACAACCTTCATTCCAATCGCGTTTAATATTCGCAAAATTAAATGTTACGATAATTATATCCTGAATTATAGGAGAAAGAGAAAGTCAGAGCTATTAGCCTTATAAAGTATAAAAAATGATACAAAATGGTACCGTGACCTAAATGTTCATATTTCGAATGACGATTCGCGAGAAAATACGCTTTCTAAATTTGATAAAGATTTAATAGAATTACTTATGCATCAATGAATCTACGTTGCGATCAGGCATGGCAATGAAGATCGCTATAACGCATCGCCAGTTCGTCGACCGTAACCCGCATGTTCGACGCGTGTCTCTTATTTTTCCAGCTGGCACCCCGCACCGATTTCAAGCCGTAAACAGTGGAACAGACGGGTTAGCGACTTATCTCGTTTTAATACATGTCGTTTATTAGCGCGTCGATATGCCCGCGATGTGTTTATCGCCTTGAACGATGTTGGAAATCTCTTTGCCCGAATATCAGCGGCAGTTGATCGCGTTGGAGGACGCTTATTCGCGGCTTTTTGATTCTTTTGTCGCTAAAAAAACTCATATATATATTTAGCTGGAATTAAAAATCTTCGCGATGACAATTATTAAGAGACGCGTATCACTTTTTCCACTTGAACTTGCTTCTTCTAATTAATAACATATTCAAAAATATGTTGGCTATTTATATTAGCTACTAACCGATCAGTATAAAATCTTATTTGCTTTTGTACTCTGATTATATTGTAATTTTCCGTTATTACACGGTAAAATGATATTAATGTTAATCTACATTAGCAGTTATTTCGCGTTACCGTTTTAGAATGGTTAAGATTTTACATGTAATATCGGGAGATTCTGTGGCTACTGTGCAAAAACAAATAATGTAATATAATCATTAAAGTCGAAATGAATTTCATTTACAATAAAGTGTTGCGAACAGGCAAATGAATGAATGTGAAGGGACCAGAATTGCAATTAGTGCAGTAAATACATTAAAGTGCCGGATCGCATAGCTTTAATTTTTATATAATATTGTGTTTATATTTATTTGGATAAAAATCCAAGTGGTTCGATTTTTTTCTTCTTGGCAGAATTGTGAACGATTCCAAAATTATCTACTTACATAGTTTTAAGTGCGTAAAAAGATATATGCGTGATTAGGATTGCGCGGGCTAGGAGAGCGGAAGGATTAAATATCTCTCGCAGGTAATCGGCGTGATATCGCGATTCGTGCGTTGCCAGTTCACCGTGCGGCTCTCGATCTCCTCGCGCTTTTTTTTTGCCCTTAGCAGAGGCCACGATGCGTGGGCGGAAGGGATCCGGCCAGACGGGGTCATCGGCCATTCCTGCGTTTCGCCCTCCTCGCGCACAGACACGCATTGTCGTGGCCATAGCCGCGAGTCCTCCATCTGCATGTGTAAATCAATTTAAAATTTTTCAAAACTAAAAAGAAAAAAATATGTA